GGTATGTGTATGTGGTGTGTAAGGTGTGTGTATGAGATGCATGTATATAATATGTATGTGAGGCATGCGTGTTATGTGTATGGCACGTGTGGTATGTATGTGGGCTGTGTGGTGTGTGTGTGGCATGTGTGTATGGTATGTATTTGGGGTATGTGTGGTGTGTGTGTATGATATGTATGTTGGGCCACACCACGGTTCCCACAGCCTGGGACTTGGGCGGTGACCGTGTGACATGCTGGAGCACAAAGGGCCTTGGCCGGAGGAGCCGAGGGGGCAGGCACGGGCACGGCGGCCCCCCGTGAATGGGGGTGTGTTAACGGGGTGTCTTCCCTCTCTCCCCAGGGAGAGGTTGGGGAGCAGGGCCTGGCCGGCCGCCCGGGAGAGAAGGTGTGTTGGTCCGTCCCTTCCCTCGTTCACTTCCCCTCCGTGCCCCATGGACTTCACACACACACACACACACACAGATACAGACACACACAGACACACACACACAGATACAGACACACACAGACACACAGAAACACACAGTCACACACACATACACACACAGACACATGGCACACACAGAGATACACACACTCCCACACACAGACACATACACAGACACACACGCAGAAACACACAGTCACACACACATACATACACAGACACACAGATATAGACACAGACACACACAGACACACACACAGACACACACACAGACACACACAGACACACACACAGAAACACACAGTCACACACACAGAAACACACACTCACACACACAGACACACACACATTCACACACACGCTGCTGCCTCAGGGATCTGGGGGGCTCGCTCCATCCATTTCACGGGTATCTGCTCCCTAGCACCCCACGTGCGACCCGGGCCTTGGGGAGCATGTGCAGGTGAGGGGGGTGGGGCAGGAGAGCCCCGCGGAGCCTGGGGGACGGTGGGGCAGGCGGGGGGAGGTGACGGTGTCTGAGGAGGCAGAACCAGGCCACACGGGGCTCCTGGGAGAGCACACGGCCAGGAGGGGGCTCGGACACCCCAGGGATGAGCTCTCCCTCCTCTTCCTCCACCCACAAGCCAGAGGCCTGGGGGCTGAGAGCAGGGCCTCCCCCAGAGTCTAACTCGGGTGTCTCCGCAGGGCCAGGCGGGCCTCCCCGGAGCCCCCGGGTTCCCGGGCCTGAGCGGAGAGAAGGGACCGCAGGTAGGTGTCCGGGTGTCCGCCCTGAGCCCCTCTCCTGTGCCGTCGTCCGAGGGAAGCAGCCCCTTTGGGTCTCGGTCCCTGGGGGGTGGGGGTGACTGGGCTGGGAGGGGGGGTCCTGGGGTTCAGGGAAGAAAGGGCCAGGCCTCTGGGGCGGGGGGAGCTGGGACCGGACAGTGGCAGGTGGTCTCGCTGGAAGGGGGTCAGGGTTGGGGGACGAGCCCATCAGGGGCTCCCCACTCTCCTCCAGAGCTCCTGGCTCACCTTGGTTATGGGGGGACAGAGTGGGGGCGGGGGGGGGAGGGGGGTGGCCCTGGGGCCTCTGGTCGCGCTGGAGCAGCCGTGCTGCAGCCGAGCTCACGCCTCCTAACTGTCTGTGCCGCAGGGAGAGAAGGGCGGCCCGGGCCCCCCGGGCCCGAAAGGCGACCGAGGCGACAAGGTAGGCGCTGGGGCCCGGGCGTCGGGGACATAGCGGGGGCCCCCTGCTGTGTGTGAGCTCCGTGGGGAAAGGGGAGGTCGTGCTGGAGCCCGAGGGAGCCTGGGCTGTGACCTGGTCCCACCTGCGGGAGGCTGAGGTCTCCTCTGAACTGTGCCCTGGCCGGCTGCCTGGTGACACACGGAGGGGCCTGTGCTCACCCTCACCCCGCACCGCCTGGGCCTGTCCCCCAGGGTGCAATCCCCTCCCCTCCAGCCCCTCCCCTCTGGCTCTGCAGCCCAGGGGGGGCCCACTGTCCACAGACAGGGTGTGGGCGGGAAGGTTGGCCTGGCCCGCTGCTCCCCGGCCGTCTCCGAGATGCCGTTTTCCGGGGGAACCTCATTTCCAGGGTGCGAGGGGCTGGGCGCCACCGTGACCCCCTCATCGCTCCCGCAGGATTGCGGGGGTCACTGCAGAATCCCATTCCGGCTTCCGGAGAATCTGGGCTGCTCTCCTTCCCCCAGAGGGTCAGGTCGTGACGGCCATTCTGGTCAAATATCAGTTGATCCTGTCGCTTCTCAAAACGCAAGGTGTTATGTGTCTGCGTATTTTATAATTGGGAATCTGCGTGTCTGTCCGCCTGTCCGTCCATCCATCGCCCCAGGTGTGGGGGGACAGGCGGGGTCGGTGGGGTGGCCGGTCACCTGCTTTCCGTTTCTCCGTCAGGGTGAAGCTGGTCCGGCCGGCCCCCCGGGACTGCCTGGAACAGTAAGCGCCTCTGCCTCTAACCTCCTTTCCACTCCCAAGGCATCGGGATTCCCCGTCCCCCCCTCCCCCCCCCGCCACACACACACACACACACTGCCAGCAGCCGGACCTAGTCCTCGGTCTCAGTCCAAAAATACCGTGCCAGCTCTCCAGCGCCCCCTGTGCCCACCTTTATCCTGCCCGGCACGGGCATTGCCACGTATCAGAGCCCTGGCCAGGCCCTGAGGACACACACCCGCCTGGCACGGGAGGAACTGAGGCCCGGAGACCAGACGCGATGGGCACGGGGGGGGGGGGCGGTGTGAGCCAGGCATCGCAGTGTCAGAGGGAGACACGGAGCCGCAGGGCAGGCAGGTGAGCCTGGAGGACAGGTCAGCGATGCTGTCAGAACCCAGGACGCTTCGGGGAGAGTGACGAGGGGCCTGACACGTACTGGAGGGCCAGAGGGGAAGGGGTCTTCGATGTCATAACTTTCAAAAGAGCCCGACGGCTGGGCCGTGGTCCCTTGTGTAAAGGGGGAGCTGTGCCCAGGGCCGAGCCCACGCCCTGGTTCCCACACCACCTGCGTCCCTGCGAGAGACGCTGACCGGGGAAGCACGCAGCGATGGGTTGTGCCGAGCCGGCCCCAGGTCCCCGTACTCAGCCTCACGTTGGGCGCCCTATGTGCCGAGCCGGCACAGCCACGGGCGAACCTGAGAGGGGACGGTGCAAGATTTAGAAAAGACAGACCAGAGAATAAAGCTGGGGCTGGGTGGACGCTGCTCTCCGACGGAGAGACAGCGCCACAGCCTGCAGGCGGAGTCTCTATTTCATAGCCGGTTTCCATGAGGCAAAGTAAGGGCGTGGTTACAATGGTCTCCCGGGTTTCGAATCCACTCAGTTACAGGCACCTGATCAAGCTTTGCTTACTCGCTGCACCGCCCGCAGCTCATATCACTCAGCCACGTGGGGCCACAGGTTCGGACCACAAGGTCAAGCTCACAACCTCGGCCTTTGCTATCATTGTGCTGGGAGGCTCTGCCCTCCAAGCTGGGACCTGCACGTGGCTTTGCCATGAGAGGACGGTGCCCTCTCAGTCCCAGGCTGGAACCTGTCCACACGCCGTGGCCGCCCTTCACAATGGGCCCAGTGTCCGGGCACAGCTCTGGTTACACACACGAGTTCAGGCCCCCGCCCCCCGCCCCCCCTGCCCCCAGAGGAGGGTGTTTCACCTGCCTTCCTGCTGAGGACGAGACGCTGGCAGGTGCCAGAGGTCACGCGGGTTTTAGGCAGGGTGACCGGTCTTGAGCTCAGACCCTGTGATGGCAGGGTCCCAACGTCTAACCGCTGTGCTTTCCTGTCTTAACCAGAGCGCGGGGGCTTCAGGGAAACGTGGTTCTAATGTAAGGTGACCAGACATCCCGCTTTTGGCGGGACAGCCCCGATGTTTAACAACGTGTCCCACGTCCCGCGGCGGCATTTTTAAAAAGTCCAAGAGATTTAAAAGAATCTTTCCGAAAATCGGGACTTTTTAAAAACGCCGAGGGATGTGGGACGCATTGTTAAAAATTGGGACTGTCCCGCCAAAAGCGGGAAGTCTGGTCACCTATTCTCATGTCAGGGCTGGTGGAGAAGGACGCGGGGTAGGGGAGGTGGGGGGAGCTGTGTTCCCCGGCTCAGTCCTCAGGGCGGGTTTCAGCACGGATTCACATCTCTCTCATTTCTGTGGTTCCTTCCAGCCTTCCTTCTTCACCCCGTACCCCAGGACGCCAGTAAGTGGAGCGGCTCCATGGCCCCTGGCTGTGACCCTGGGTGCTCTGGGGGCTGCGGCTCGGCTGGGCCCTGGCTCTGCCCACCATGCCGGTCACCGCCGGCCCGTGCCAGCAGCCGGGGGAGCAGGCCGTGTGAGGGGCAGGCTCCATGTCCAGGGCCCGAGGTCACCTCCCCGCGGCCCAGGCCCAGGGCAGACCCTTGGGGGTAACTCCCTCGTCCGTCCCTCCACACAGGCCCTGTGGTGTGGAGGGAGCAGGATCTTGGGGGGCGGAGGGGGGTACATGAGTGGCAGAGTGAGGGGGAGTTGGCAGTGATGGGGACTGGAGGGGGCAGTGACGGGCGGGCCTGAGAGAGGCTGCTCAGAGGACGGGCAGGCTGACGGGTGGTGACCGGCCGCCCAGGCGCTCTGACGCAGGTGTTAGGACACGACCCCTGAGCGGCCGGGGCCCGGGCCTTCTTTGCAGCCGTGTCCGTGGGCCTTGCCAGGCTCCGGGGGGTGGGGTGGGGGTGGGGCAGGGTGAAGCCGCACAGATAGGTGCAGATCTGCCACCGCAGCCGCCCCACCGAGGAGCAAGGACGCTCTGCGGGCCTGTGTCTGTGCACGAGGGCGTGGCTGGCCTGGGGCTCAGTTACCCCGAAGGGGCCCTTCTTGACCTGAGGCCTGAGAGTGGGAATCAGAGCGGAGTGGAGGAGCTGGTGGGGGGGGGTGTGCATGCAGGGGGCAGGGGGCAGGGGGCAGGGCTCTGGGCGGTCTGCGGTGGGTAGCGCGGGGTGCCCTACCTGTGCTTCCCCATCACCAGGGAGAGCAAGGCCCGAAAGGAGAGAAGGGTGACCGTGGTGTGCCCGGTGAGCCGGTGAGTGCCCCGTGCCCACGCCCCCGGGCCCATGCCTTCCCCTCCCCCCCGCCCCCCCCCCCCCCGAGACAGGACGTCCGAGGCCCAGCAGCCCCAGGAGCCAGCCGAGCCCCATGTGGTCCCTTCCTCCTCCCTCGGGGCCCAAGGACGCCCCCCCCCCCCATCTGTGGATCTCTGCTCACTCCCTCTGCGCACGTCCTCCCCGCCCCCTCTGCACAGAACGGGGTTGGGGGATGGGGGATGGGGGGGAGTGGCTCGTTCATGGCGACTGTGTCATTGCAGGGGCTGCAGGGCGAACTCGGGCCTCCAGGACCCCCTGGGCTGCCGGTAAGAAAGCCTCACCCCACCCATTGGCCCCAGACGCAGAGATGCCCACAAGCCCCTGTCCCCCTGTCCCTCCCTGGCCCCCCGGCCCCTGGCCCCACTGGCCTGCCATTGCAGGAGCACCCACCAGAGGGCGCTGGCACAGTGCTTCTGGGACCTCCAGCCCAGCACCCAGGGGTGGACTGGTCTACCCAGAGCGCCCCAAAACACAGCCCCCCGCCACAGGGCGGCCCTGACCCCAGTCCCCTGGGTGTCCTTGCTCGTCACTGACATGTGGGTTAGGAGGGCTAAGCTGGGGCCACACAGCCTTCCTTCCGGCTCCGCGCCCGCCCTCGGGACGGCTCCTGGCTTTTGGGGGGCAGGAGTCCTCTCCGTCCGGCCTGGCCGGCAGCTCCGGGTGGAAGGGTGCCGTCATGTGCCTTTTCCTTTTGGTGTTCTTCTTGGCTCTGGCTTCTTGGCTGTCTGTTTCTGGGGCGGGGGTTTAAGTTTTGGGGGACCCGGTGGGGGGACCTGCCTGGGCCAGATCCCAGGGCCCCTGGCTGCCGTGTGCCTGGGCATCTGCCCCTTGGAGCCCCTTTTACGTAAACACAAAGCGCCGTGCTGGTCCTGCCTCCCGGGTGGCCAGGCTGGGGTGCAGGGCCACGGGCCCGGCCTGCTTCCTGCACCCGCAGGCCCTCCCTGTGGCTTCAGTGTGGGCCACCGGCTGGCCAGCAGGGGGCGCCGAGAGTCCCCGCAGGGGGACGAGGACAGTGCTGCCTATAATGTCCCCTCCCTCCGCCCCCATTTTACTTCCCGAGCAGGGCGCCAAGGGACAAGATGGCGCACGCGGAGCCGCTGGAGACCCCGTGAGTGCGGCCCTCCTGTCCTCGGGGCCGGGGGTGGAGGGCCGCCCGCCCAGGAGGGACCCTGTGCTTAGTTCTGGTGACTGGGGGGAGGGGAGGAAGGGGGAGAGTGTGCCACCCACAGGGAGGGTAGGCCTCCCTACACCCCAGTGTTTCAGGGCCCAGGTGTCCACGCGCCCCACCCTCCTTCCACGCCCTCGCTGATGCCCACGGACACGCAGACACCGCTCCCAGATGCATGGCTCTGTGACGTGTGCTTGTGTTCACGTCACACACATACGTTCCGAAATCCGGTGCACGCACTGCACTGTGTGTATGAACGCCTGATCTGCAGACGCAGCCATGAGCACAGACACGCCTCCATGCACACCCCCCATGCACACGCCTCCATGCACACCCCCCATGCACACGCCTCCATGCACACCCTCCATGCACATGCCTCGGACGCGCCTGTTGTATCTGCCCCACCTGGGCCCGGAGCGTCAGGGGTTGACACGTGTGCCCTGGCCTCCTGTCTCCCGGGGGCAGTGGTGGGGGGAGAGCCTCAGGCACTGTCCCCTCGCTCCCGGGCCCGATGTCCGGCCGTAAAGTGCTCGCATGACCAGGCTGCCGTGCACGTGGCCTCGTGGGAGCAGGTGGGCCACGGGCGGTGACTGGTCGGAGGGCAGGTGGCAGCTCCTCCCTGTCGGAGAGGCGGCCCCGGGCCCCGCTGCCTGGAGGAAGCGGACGTCCAAGGCCCGCAGGGAACGGCCTCCATAACTCCAGAGCCCCCGCTCCCCACCCCAGTGTCCACCCGCCCGGAACCCCTCACATGCCTCCCCTGGAGTCTGTGCCGGCCTTCGGTGTCCAGGTCATGTCCACTTCCTTCAGCAAGCATTCCCTGGTTCGCTAAAGCCACCATGCACACACGCACCCACACACCCCGTCTCTGTGCCCAGGGAACCTCCTGAGTCCTGCCTACCCTGTCCCACCTCTGTGCCAGGGTCCCACATTTTGGGGTTCGGCTCCTGGGGGTGCCAGGAGGAGGCTCCTCTTACCGTGGAGGGAAATCTCGGGGCTGCGTGCAGGCAGTAGGGAGAGGATGGGGTAGCTCTGTGAGCGGCGCACCGGGCCTGCCTGAGCTTCTTCTGCTTCTGAACAGGGCGCTCCTGGCCCCCTAGGGCCCCCCGGTCCCAGCGGCCCCCCAGGAAGTGCGGTGAGTAATCAGGGCTGGGGCAGGGCCTGGAAAGTCTCAGCTTCTGCATCTCCCGAGTGGAGGAGCGGGTGGTGGGTTCAGAGCTCACGCCGCCTGCCCAGGCTCTGCCTCCCGTGGCCCAGGTGGCCGGGAGGGACCAGCTTAACCTCCCGCAGCCACAGCTTCCCTCTCCTGCGGGGAGACGCCGGGCGGAGCGCCCGAAGGGGACCGGGCCTGGGCCAGCCTGGCCCAGAAGGACCGGGGCTGTTAAGAGCAACGGTCACCCACCTTTCGGACCTCATGGCCGCCAGTGGTCCCCAGACATGGGGTGGTGACCCTGGTTTAGAGGACGTGCCAGGCTTGGTTCTGAGCACCACACGTGCGGACGTGTTCACCCTCCCCATCCGGGGGTGGGTATGGCTGTGCCCTGTTGGCACTGGGGGAAACCGAGGCACCGGAGGCTGAGCCCCGTCCTTAGCGGTTACTGTCGCTGCTCCCAGGACAGTGGTCTTCAAACCGCAGCTCGCGAGCCTCATGCGGCTCTTTGGCCCCTTGAGTGTGGCTCTTCCACAAAATACCACGTGTGGGCGCTCACGTCCAGTGCGATTGAAACTCCGTGGCCCATGCGCAGAAGTTGGTTTTCGGCCTGGGCGAGTCTGTTTTGAAGAAGTGGCGTTAGAAGGAGTGGGAGTGTCGGTTGCATGTGGCTCTCGAGCTGCAGTTTGCAGACCACTGTCGCAGGACGTCACCCCACCCCACCCCACCCCACCCGCCTCCTTGTGCACCACCCACTTCCGGGAGCCGCCCTCCTTTGCTGGCATTTCCCTGGCGTCAGCGACCGCCTTGTCCAGCCACGTGGCATGTGGGCTCAGCTGCCCAGGAGCAGCCCTGACCTCTGGGGTGTAGATGCCAGCTCCACGCTGGCCCCCGGGCCCAGGCGGCACTGAGCACCTGCCACTCCCCCCCCCCCCCCCCCACCCCATCCCTGGGTGCATCCCTTGAACATGTGCCCTTGAGCCTTGTCTCTGGGCACACCGGTCACACAGCTGGAGGTCTGCTGGCCAGTCATCCTCATCCTCCCCGTGTCCCCTAAGTCACCCCGCCCCACCCCGCCCTCTGAGAGCTGCAGCCTGGGGGCAGAGTGGAGTGTGCTGGGTGCACAGGGTCAGTGTGTGAGCAGAGCAGGACCAGCCGCTGTGGGGGCCGGGCGGTGTGTGTGTGGGGGGCGGTGTTCCAGGCCTCCGGGAGCTAAGTCAGGAACGGGGGGCCCACGGGGACAGAGCTGTGGTCACTGATTGAAAAGGGGCCTAGTCCCCCTTTTCTGGCGGCCACCGTGTCAATAGCCTTTCCTCCTCCAGGGCCCCCCTGGAGTCAGAGGCCCCCCTGGGAAAGACGGGGAGCGCGGCGAGAAGGTAAGACAGGTGGTCTGAGCACTCAGCCGGCAGACCCATCCGGGAAGCAGGGACAGAGGCGCCCGCACTGCCCTCGGCGGGGAAGGAGCTAGCAGACCCACCACCACCTCACATCACCCTCACAGCAGACCTGTCAATCACGCCCCCCCCCATTTCACAGACGTGCAGACTGAGGCTCCGAGATGCACTGAATTCCCTGTCACATAGCCCAGCAGCCAGGTCTGTCCGGTGCTAAGTCCTGCTTTCTCTGATCTTGGTGCACCAGGCACGCCTTTGCGTGTAGCCAGGCCCCAGGGGGGGGGGGGGGCCATGAGGAAGCACATCAGTTCTTGGGGAGAAGAGGGACAGTGTCCACCCGGAACACCAACAGTGAGCACATCCCACCTCTAGAGGGAGCCAGACAGCTGTCCATGGCTGAGGGGCGCCCGGCTGAGGGCCAAGACCAGGCTGTGCAGAGCAGTGCAGACCCCTGCCCCCAGGCAGGCTCCTTCCTGTGTGTGAGCAGGGCTGGGGGAGCCCGGGGCCGCGGACGCCCAAGCCCGGGAGAGGCCCCCTCACTTGCTCTGCGTCCTCGCTGCACCTCAGGCAGCGGGAGGCCTCGGGGCGCCCTGCCTGGAACAGGGGTCCCTGTGGCTCGTGGGGCCCTCCCCGGGGTTCCACAGCCAGAGCCGCCCCCGGGCTGAGGGCCTCGGGGTCAGAGAGCATGAGCATTGCCTGGAGCGAGCGAAAGCCCAGCTCCCTCCCGGAGCCGGCACCCGGGGCGTGGGAGCTCCTGGCAGAGGAGGAGGGAGGGCTGCGAGGGAGCCGCACCGCTGGGCGCCCTGGGCGGGGGCTGGGCCGAACACCACGGCGCCCCCTGCATGCCGGCGTCCACGGGGCCTTGGTTTGCTCCGGCAGCTCTAAGAGAGGATGCAAACTGGTGTCTGCTCACCACCCACCGTCTGGGGTCTCTCCCACCTCTCTCCTTGCTGAGTGGCTGTCTGGCCGCCCTTCCCACTCCCACTCCCCATCCCCACAGGGACTTCCCTCTGTGCCCGTCTGTGGCAAAGGCCCCTCCTCACAGGACTTGGGCTCCTAGTGGACTCAGGGTACGTGCCCTGACCCGGTTAGCTATTAAAAATGAACTAATGCTGATGCCAAAACCGGTTTGGCTCAGTGGATGGAGCGTCGGCCTGCGGACTGAAGGGTCCCAGGTTCAATTCCAGCCAAGGGCATGTACCCTGGTTGTGGGCACATCCCCAGCAGGGGGTGTGCAGGAGGCAGCTGGTTGATGTTTCTCTCTCATTGGTGTTTCTAGCTCTCTATCCCTCTTTCTCTCTGTAAAAAATCAATAATAAATAATAATAATAATAAAATAATGAAATAAAATAAAATAAATGAACTAAGAAACTGTTTCTCGGTGGAGGTGTTGGGCTAGGCCTGCAGCATGTGACCGGGGGACACAGGAAGGCTGTCACATGCCATCAGAACGCCCGCGCACCCCGCGGGCTGCCTCGCCAGCGGAAGGCCGGTCCCTGCGTGCCGTTGATCCTGGCACCTGTCCATTTCCTTCCAGGGAGCAGCTGGGGAAGAGGGGCGCCCGGGGCCGGCGGGCCCCCGCGGGGATCCTGGAGCTCCCGGGCACCCCGGGCCTCCCGGGGCGGGGAAGGACGGAGAGCCGGTGAGTCAGGGGCAGCCGGCGGAGTTAGAGGCGGGAAGTCAGACAGAGCTGGTGGTGCCGGGCGGGCGGGAGGAGGCTGTGGTGGGGACACGGTCTCCGGGGCATTGCCCGCCAGGCTCTGGGTCACATGGACGCGGTAGGTGGTGGGGTCAGGCCTCTCCGCTGAGGGCCTGGTGCCTCAAAAATTTCCCACCCACAGTGAGGTGCGGGGAGCTGCCTGCCCATCAGTCCTCCCCCCCCCACCAGCAGAGGGTGCCCACGGCTGGCAGGAGGCGGGTGGGCACCGGCGGGCGGGCAAGGCCTCTCGTGCTCGATGACCGTCCTGTCCCCTTGCTTCCCCAGGGGCCTCGGGGGCCGCCCGGACTGCCTGGACCTCTTGGCACCAAGGTACGGTTCACTCGTGCAGCCGTGGGCGCCGGTCGCACTGGTAAAGCTTCGCCGTCAGCGTCTCTGGGCACCTCAGCCCCCTCCGGGTCCTCATCCCCCATGTCCCTCTCCATGGGCGTTTGGGAGAACACTCTGTTTCTGATTGATGAGGGTCCTAAGGTGCAGAGAGGTCATGGGACCAGCTCGACATTGTCCCGAGACTGGACCGAGAGGCAGCCAGCGGCCCACTCAAGTCTTCCTACCTGACCTCCCTCCCCTCCCCCCCACGAGCATACGTCCTTCCCGGAGTGACCTCTGCGTCTTGCTTTTCTCTCTCCAGGGGGACCGAGGTGTCCCCGGGATCCCTGGCTCTCCCGGCACCCGCGGTGACCCGGGCCTCGGGGTTGCCGGCCCTCCTGTGAGTTCCCTTCGTCCAGCATCCTGGGGTGGGCAGCTTGCAGGAAGGCAGACCCATGTGCATGTGTGTGGGTTCCCATGCAGGCGTGTGTGTGTGCATGTGTGCGTGTATGGGCGCACATGCATGCGTTTATGTGTGCACCGCCTAGTGGAAGGGGGAGGGGCACCCCCGCAGCTTCAGCCCTATTTCCCCCAGCCCGACCCCAGCAGGAAGGGGTGCAGCCCAAGGATGCTGGGTGCTGGGTGCTGGTTCCTGCCCCAAACGAGAGCTACAGACCAGGGAGGGGCTCTGCGTCAGAAGCCTCATGGGAGCCAGGACAGGGTGGTTACCCGGCGGGGTGAGGGTGGGCCGGGGGCCTGCCGGGAGGTGGTTGCCTGCCCCCTTTAAGGAAGCTCCAGCTTGGAAGTAGCCCCGCAGCGCTCTGAGGCGCCTCCCTGCCTGCTCTGCTGACGTGCCCTGTCTGCTTCCAGGGCCCTTCCGGACCCCCCGGAGACAAAGGCCCCCCGGTACGTGTGACGTGGGCGAAGGGCCGCTCCCTGCAGTGGGCCCCTGTGACGAAGCGGGTTTACATGGAGGGCTGGGACCCTGCGTAAAGCAAACCCCTGCTGCTAGGGGGCAGACGCCCCGCAGTGAGCGTGCACCTGCAGGGGAGGGGGAAGGCGGGGTCCCCTGTCCGCTGTCTACTGTGCCGTGCGTGGGGCAGACTGTCTGGCTGCGCTTCGCAGCATCTCTGCATCACAGAGGGACGGCCGAGGGGGCCACGGGCTCGTCAGAGCCCAGGAGCACTGATTTTTAACCCAGGCTTCCTCAGCCACAGCCACGCCCAAACCAGGGAACCCTCTGACCCAGTCAGGGGCATGCTCTGCCTCTCAGCCCATCCCAGAGACCCCCTACTGAACGCCGGAAAGCCACAGGGGCCTCTCCTCTCTCTCTCCAGGGACCGCGAGGCTCGCCCGGATTCCCCGGCCCCCAGGGCCCCACTGGCCAGGATGTGAGTAGAGCGCGGGTCTGGGCTGGGTCCGGAATGGCCTCTGGTGCCCACACATCCACATTGCCCGGGGCCCTGGGCCTGGCATTCCCACAGCCCCGATGGCAGACGGGCCTCCCCCCTGCCAAGTGGGCTGCCCACCTGAGCTTGGGGAGGGATGGCAGGCATTTAAGATAGGCGTGTGTTTGTGCGTGTGTGTGCGTGTGTGTGTCTGTGCAAGCGTGCACACGTGTGTACACACTCTGTGCACCAGTTGTTTGCAGTTTGTGTTGGGGCAGGAGTGGGAGGAGGGGTAGCACTCTGTCCTAAGCACCTCTGGCACCTGACCGTTTCCTGGGAGACAGGAAGCCGGTCGGTGCCAGCCGGCACAGTTGGGTGGTGTCTTTTCCCCATGGAGACCCCTCGCTGGCAGAGGTCGGCGGCGTGCGCCAGGGAGCTGCGTGCTCAGCCAGGTCACGTGTCCTCTCTCTCTTCTCCTAGGGCGCCCCAGGGAGTCCCGGCGAGCGGGGGCCTCCGGGCACACCGGTACGTCCTCCCCTGTTCCGGTCAGGGCTCCGGCGGGAACAGCAGGCCGCTCGGGCGGCTCAGGGGCCTTCACGGGGCCTCTTCCTGACGCTGTGGGCAGGGGGCTGCGTGAGGAGTGCGATGCAGAGACAGGCCACAGGCGAGCCGGTGCCCCGTTGGCCTGAGAGCGAGAGTGGCCATGGTGGGAGCCGTAGCCCTGGGACCAAAGCCAAGGCCGGGGGGGTGGGGGGAGGTGATGGGGGGGTGCGGGAGGCCCGGTGTGAGCTCAGGAGCCCTCCACGTGGCCTGCAGGCGTGAATGGGGGTGGGGCAGAGGGGCCCAGGAGCAGAGGAAGGTGCAGGAGGGGACGGGGGACCAGAACGGACTATGTCTGTCAGGCTGGGGAGGGCTGGCCGCCCGCACGGTCCCTGCCTCAGGAGTCCTCTGGCTCCCAGGCTGTGAGCGTCAGGGGACGGCCCAGGTGAGGAGTCACACTGTGAGGCCCTTCGCTGCCTGAAGATACACAGACCGTGCTGCCTGCCTGCGTGTGCGTGCGGGTGCGTGTGTCTGCGTGTGTGTGTGCACGTGCCTGCCTGCATTCATCCACCTCTCCCTGGCAGGGCCCCTCTTCGCCCCTGGCTCCCGAGGACGTCCGGCTCCTGGTTCAGGTAAAAGCGGAGTCACCTGCGTGCGTTCTGCAACTGCTGACGGGGGACCGGGCTCTCGGAGTGTGATGGCGTGGGGTGGGGAGGAGCGAGGCAGAGGTTCCGAGGGTCCGTGCTGGCCTCGAGCTCAGACGGAGGCAGAGCAGTGTCCTGTGCGGGTGCCTGGCCTGCTGCTCTCCTGGACGCGCCGCCGGTGGAGAGTGGGCCGGGCCTCCTTTGCTCCGCCAGGAACTGCTGCGTGTTCTCTCCCAGGACGTGTGCAAGGACTGCCCCCCGGGCCCCCCGGGCCTGCCCGGCCTGCCGGGCTTTAAGGGGGACAAAGGGCTCCCGGGAAAGCCAGGGAGAGACGGCTCGGACGGGAAGAAGGTGAGGAGCTTTCAGTCCCGTGTCCTCTGGGCCAGCCCCGTCCTGGGCGTGGCCCCGGGGGGCGGGGTCGCTGGCCATGGGAGGGCCCCGCTGCCACACGGCTGACCACATTGGCTGTGGGTCTACCTGTGAGTCCACAGCCAGCGCCCTCTGCTCCGGGCGCTGGAGAGGCCGGGGACACCCCAGGGGGAGGCCCTCGAATGGAAGTTGCAGGGTGATGGGTCGCTGGTGACGGGGCGTGGGCTCCCGCACTCTTTATTTACTTATTTAAAATATATTTTATTGATTTTTTTTACAGAGAGGCAAGTAGAGGGATAGAGAACTAGGAACATTGATGAGAGAGAAACATCGACCAGCTGCCTCCTGCACATCCCCCACCAGGGATGTGCCCACAACCAATGTACATGCCCTTGACCGGAATCAAACCTGGGAGACCTTTCAGTCTGCAGACCGGCGCTCTATCCGCTGAGCTAAACCATTTTTAAAATATATTTTTATTGATTTCAGAGAGGGAGGAAGAAGGAGGGAGGGGTAGAAACATCCATGATGAGACAGAATCACTGATCAGCTGCCTCCTACGCGCCCCCCACTGGGAAAGAAGCCCACACCCGGGGCACGTGTCCGAACCACGGGGAATGGAACGTGACCTCCTGGTTGATGGGTCGGGCTCTACCCCTGAGCCACGGGGCCAGGCAGGACCCTCACCCTGATCTTTGTTCCCTGCCGCAGGGCGAGGCTGGGCCCAGAGGCCTTCCCGGGCCCCCAGGAGCCGCGGGCCTGCAGGTCAGTGAGCTCCCTCCACGCCGTCTCCCTGCTCAGTCTGAGGGTGGAGGAGCGTGTCTGGGGGAAGGAAGGTTGGGAATGAGCAGAAACCCCACGTCCAAGGTCCCACCGCGGCACGGACGCTCCTGCGACCTCGGGCCTGGCAGGGTCACCGGCCTCCGTCTGGTCTCAGGTTGTTTGCGTACGAACACCGGGCGTTGGCAGTGTGATGAGTGTGGGCCTGGGATGTGCGGTCTCCCTGGTGAGGCACTGCCTTTGGGGCTGTGTGGCCTGAGGCAGAATCCCTGCCTCTCTGGGCCTCAGCGTCACCTCTCACCACGGGGTGTGAGGTGGGAGGATGTGGGCCGGGGAGAGCGTGGCTCTCGGTAACCACCGCCGAGCACGCGCCGGGCGGATGCCGATGAGGATGGGTGAGTGTCGGTGACGCGCACCGGAGGGAGGCTCGCCCTGCGGCTCCCAGGGCAGTGGGTGCTCTGGCCGCCTGAGGGAGCGCCTGGCTGTGATTTTTGGGGCACGGCAGTTGGCTCTGAGAGGAGGCTGCATGAGTGCTGGCCACACCTCCTCCTCGTGGTTTCCAAAGCCCCTAACTCAGTCCACGTTCAAGGGTCGACCAGGAGGCTCTCGGAAGGGGGCTCTGCCTGTCTCCCCAGCCCACGTCTCCTGCCCCGGCAGCACCCCGCGGCCCGGGCAGCCATCCGAGGGCTGTTCTCCAGCCAGGCTGTGTCTCTGTGGCGGACACCGCTGGGGCTGCGGCAGGAACGTGCTCTGTGACGGGGGAAGGAGCGGGAAGGAGCGATGCGTGCAGACTCCCCTTTGCAGAGTGGCTCTTGCCATTCGCACTGACTTTGTTCTTCTTCTCGTAGGGAAGCCCCGGAGAGCGCGGAGCCGACGGTGAGGCGGGGCCGAAGGGCGAGCCGGTGAGCGCGCCAGGATGAGCGGCCCCTGGAGCTGGAGGCTGTCTCTCCCGCACCCCCTGCCCCTCCCCTGCTTCCTGAGCGCAGGGGGTTCGAACACCACCCGTCCTGCTCCCCATCTGGATTCCTCCGGCTCCCGGTCACGCTCCCCTCTTCCCCCCTCCCCCCAGTTCTCCCAGGAGCCTGCTTTTCATTGCTTTTGTGTGACTCCTCTCCTGAGAACATTTCCCCATGTATTTTTAAATATATATATTGTTACTGATGTCAGAGAGGAAGGGAGAGGGAGAGAGAGAAACATTATTAATGAGAGAGCACCATGGATCGGCTGCCTCCTGCTCGCCCCACACGGGATCGAGCCCAGAACCTGGGCCTGTGCCCCGACCTGGAATGGAACTGTGACCTTCTGGGTCCTAGGCCGATGCTCAACCCCTGAGCCACACCGGCCGGCCGGCCGGGCCCACTGCGTTTCGGATGGGCTGTGGCGGGCACTGCGGTCCACGGTGGACGCGGCAGCTTGCGTTCCAGGGGCAGGAAGGGAGGCGGGCGGCAGGATGTCGGTTATTTCAGGGAGGTTTGCTTGGCTTAGGAACGTGGCTGTGTGACATGTTTTTGATTCATTTTCACTGTCCATAGTGTGACAGCTACCTGCCACTCCCCCTCTGCCCGCTCCCCAGGTCACCCTTTTTAGTTCTTTCTAAAAGTCACATGGACTCCTCTCCGCATGGAGACGAGGGCCTTTTCCCTAAAATAACCGTGTGCTGGCGGGGTGCGGGTACACGGCTCCTGTGACCCCCGGGGGCTTCCGTGGTGTCTGTGTGTCTGCTCGCTGTCCAGCTGTCGCCGTGGGGCCTGCACGCCCACACACCGACGAGAGCGTGCCACGCAGCCACGTGTTCCCAGCTGCCGTGGCCGCTCTGGTCCCCCTCTGCCTCCTCACTCCCTCCCACGCCTTTCCCCCTTTCTCCCAGGGCCGCCCCGGAGTGCCAGGCTTCATGGGGCCCCCGGGGAGCCCTGGGCCGCCGGTAAGTGCCCGTTGTCAGTTCCCTCCGCTTTCCACCCGGCCCCCTGAGCACCCCCTTTTCACTGCAGACGCCGTCTCCCCAAGGTCTCTGTGACCGAGATGAGCCCAGCCGTGGGCAAGGCAGAGGCTGCCTCGGAAATGCATAAGCTCCGGCCGAGGGCAGGGCGCAGGGGGCAGGGCGCAGGGGGCAGGGGGCAGGGGCAGGGGGCAGGGCAGGGGAGCCAGTGTTGCCTCGTGCCCAGAGCCAAGCTCCTGCCCGCGGCCAGGCACACACTCACTCACTCTCCGCTTGTTCACCGTTAGGGAGCCGATGGAGTCGCAGGAGCTGCGGGACCGCCAGGCACTCCGGGGCCACCGGTACGTTCCTCCCTGGGGGTCTGGGTCTGGCTTTCCCAGAAGCCCAAGTGCTCGCCCACCCTGCCCTGGTCTCCTTCCCCCACTTCGCCCCCCTAGTCTCTCCTGGTCCACCGCCGGGGCCACTTTCCCCCGGAGCCCGGTCACCCCGCCTCTAAGGTAAAGGCTCCGAGAAATGACCCGGGACTGAGACCAGAATTCAGTGGCAGCTACACAGGCCCACGGGAGCCCGTGTCTCCGCCTCTCCGGTGGCCTCCGTGTGGACAGGCGCAGGGAGAGGGAGGGCTTGGCGCTGACCCCCCGAGCCTGTGGCCATGCGCCAGGGAGTGTGCTGGGAGGCAGCCGCTGTCGGCCAGTCATTCCAAAGGCAGCCTGTCGCTAAGGAAGGGGAGGTCAGGGGTCAAGGCTTGGGAACCACAGCTGGTGAGGGAAAGGTCAGCGCCAGGTCCCAGAGGAAAGGTCAGCGCCAGGTCACAGGGGAAAGGTCAGCGCCAGGTCCCAGAGGAAAGGTCAGCGCCAGGTCCCAGGGGAAAGGTCAGCGCCAGGTCACAGGGGAAAGGTCAACGCCAGGTCCCAGGGGAAAGGTCAGCGCCAGGTCACAGGGGAAAGGTCAGCGCCAGGTCCCAGAGGAAAGGTCAGCGCCAGGTCCCAGAGGAAAGGTCAGCGCCAGGTCCCAGAGGAAAGGTCAGCGCCAGGTCCCAGGGGAAAGGTCAGCGCCAGGTCACAGGGGAAAGGTCAGCGCCAGGTCCCAGGGAAAGGTCAGCGCCAGGTCCCAGAGGAAAGGTCAGCGCCAGGTCCCAGAGGAAAGGTCAGCGCCAGGTCCCAGAGGAAAGATCAGCGCCAGGTCACAGGGGAAAGGTCAGCGCCAGGTCCCAGAGGAAAGGTCAGCGCCAGGTCCCAGAGGAAAGGTCAGCGCCAGGTCACAGGGAAAAGGTCAGCGCCAGGTCCCAGAGGAAAGGTCAGCGCCAGGTCCCAGAGGAAAGGTCAGCGCCAGATCACAGGGGAAAGGTCAGCGCCAGGTCCCAGAGGAAAGGTCAGCGCCAGGTCACAGGGGAAAGGTCAGCGCCAGGTCACAGGGGAAAGGTCAGTGCCAGGTCCCAGAGGAAAGGTCAGCGCCTGGTCACAGGGGAAAGGTCAGCGCCAGGTACAAACACCGTCTCAGGAATGGCAGTCATATTCTAGGCCTGGCGAAGCTGCAGGTCAGGACCTGTGCCTCTGGACTCTGGAGCCGAGTCCTTTGGGAGTCACCCAGGACAGCTTCCTCCCGCTCAGACACCGCTTCCTCACCCGCTTCCAACCTCACCCCTCCTCAGTCCCTGGGTCCCCGGCTACACACCAGGCTGCCTGGTCATGTGCTGCTCGGACCCCTGCCCGGGGAGCGACCAGAGGCAGGAGGCAGGAAAAGCACTGTTGTTTCTCACCAACACCCCCCACCCGCCCTCCCAGCCCTCACATGGCCCGCAGAGCAGCTGGTCTGAGAGATTTGACAGTGCTTTTCTATCTTGGATCTTTTAGGGGAAAGAAGGTCCCCCCGGCCCCGAAGGCCCATCGGGGTTACCCGGAATCCCAGTAAGTGACATTTAAAAATCCCATTTCTCTCCTGCACAAGCGAGCAAGACTGCATTTCACCTTCATTAAAGCAAGACAAGGTCGCCAGGGGAGTTGTGTGTGTTATTGAATACTAGTGGCCCGGTGCACGGATTCGTGCACATTGAAAGGAAATTAATTAGAAGAAATGTTTTAATATCGCTATTCACCCTTTCTCTGTGATAGAAGTGTCAGAGATGAGAGAAAATTAGTAAAATATATGTGAAAATAATATATAAATTGATTCATAAACAATCACAGCATGATATAACAACCATAAAGTCATGATATGAAAACAATAAAAACATGATATAAAAACAATGGCTGATAAGTGGATTAAGCTCATTCTAATATCCCTGTACACCACATTAAGAGTAAAAACACTTTCAGAGTGCTTAACCAATGCCATCTAATACAAAGACATTTAGGATCAACAATTGCTCCACTTTTTTGTTACTTGCCAGACACTGGGGACCAGACACCCACGCCTGACTCTCAGTGCTGGGGAAACACCAGGCAATCAGACCAGTTCTGGTGGCTGAAACACCGTTTCAGCTGCCACGGGCGAATGGAACTGCATGTGTCCCCCTGCCCTGTGCAGTGGGGGACAGATGACCCATGGAGTTTCTCTTGCAGGGAGCAGAAGGCAAAGAGGGCAGGGACGGAAAACCTGGTGCCCCCGGAGAGCCGGTAAGGAACTGACTTCTCCCCATTCTGCAGGCCCAGGCAGAGCTTTCTCAGTAACAGCCACTACGTGCACGGGCACAGTGAAGGCTACCTGCTCTGCATTACTTCTGCCACTTCTATACTTTAGGGGCATGGGTGGGTAGGTAGACAGTAGATAGATGGATAGATGATGGATGGATACACAGAGAGATGGATAGATGATGGATGGATATACACAGAGAGATAGATAGATGATGGATGGGTGGAAACATAGGTAGATGGATAGATGATGGATGGATATACAGGTAGATGGATAGATGATGGATGGATGGATACACAGGTAGATAGATAGATGATAGATGGATACACAGAGAGATAGATAGATGATGGATGGATGGATGGATACACAGGTAGATGGATAGATGATGGATGGATACACAGTTAGATGGATAGATGATGGATGGATATACAGGTAGATGGATAGATGATGGATGGATGGATACACAGGTAGATAGATAGATGATAGATGGATACACAGAGAGATAGATAGATGATGGATGGATGGATGGATACACAGGTAGATGGATAGATGATGGATGGATACACAGTTAGATGGATAGATGATGGATGGATGGATACACAGGTAGATGGATAGATGATGGATGGATATATACGTAGCTGGATAGATGATGGATGGATGGATACACAGGTAGATGGATAGATGATGGATGGATGGATACACAGATAGATGGATAGATAGTAGTTCACTCGGCCACGTTTCCCTGAGCCTCCGTGTCCCCAGTTGTAAAGTGCGGTCGTTACCAGCTGCCTGGAGTGGCTGGTGGAGAGGTACCGGGCCCGTCAGGATGGGGAACCTGCGTCACTTCTCCAGCAGCTGGAGCGCCTCCGAGAAGGCGAGGCCGAGGAGCCATCACTGCAGGGATGAGCCCGAGAGGCCAGCACGCCCGGGGCACCGGGACGCAGCGGGCTGGGTGCGGGTGGCGGGGTGAGTGGCTGGCCGTGGACCGTAGGGCCGGGGTGGGCTGGCAGAGAGGCCGGAACAGGCGTGTGAAACGCAGTGCTCAGAAGCCCAGCAGCAAGAAGAGGGGATCCCTCACGCTCTCTTCCCCCCTCTTCCTCTTTCCTCAGGGCAAAGCAGGAGAGCCGGGCCTGCCAGGGCCGGAGGGCGCCCGAGGGCCCCCGGTAAGTGCTGTGCATGTGTGAACACGTGTGTGTGCATGCATGTGTGTGTGAGTGTGTGTGTATGTGTGGGGAGGAATGAGGGGTGAGAGTGTGTAGGAGTGTGAGTGTGTGACTGTATGGCTGTGTGTGAGTGTGTGACCTTATGACTGTGTGTGTGTGTGTGTGTGTGTGTGTGTATGAGTGTGTGTGACTGTATGACTGTGTGTGTGTGAGTGTGTGTGTGTGATTGAGTGTGTGACTGTATGACTGTGTGTGAGTGTGTGTGTGTGTATGAGTGTGAGTGTGTGACTGTATGACTGTGTGTGAGTGTGTGTGTGTGTATGAGTGTGAGTGTGTGACTGTATGACTGTGTGTGAGTGAGAGAGTGAGCTGTCCCTGGTAGAAAAAAGCATCAGCCGCACGGCTAAGACACGGTGGGTAAGGTCCTGGAGGTCAGGGTCCCCCTCCTTCAGGACTGGGGCCCCCTGCGGGCTCAGTGCTCCCGTGCGCGCTGTGAGGCCACTTTCTGGCTGGCAGCCGCGGGACCATGTCCTGGGCGAAGGCCGCTTGTTCTTATTCTCTGTTCCTGTCCTGTGGCCTTTCCCTGGACGACGAGCCTGAACAGGCGTCTTCATTGTATCTTGGAGCACTCCCACGGCTAAAGGGTTAAACTAACCCGTTCTGGTTGCAGAACAGCAACGATGATGGTGGTCATAATTAAAAATATGGAGGAGAAAAGAGGTCCTTGTAATCCTACAACCCAGAGGGAAAGCTCTGGTAAAGGCCAGGATATTTCCTTGGTCTTTTTTTTTTTTTTAAATATATATTTTATTGATTTTTTACAGAGAGGAAGAGAGAGGGATAGAGAGTTAGAAACAATGATGAGAGAGAATCATCGATCAGCTGCCTCTTGTACCTCCCCTACTGGGATGAGCCTGCAACCAAGGTACATGCCCTTGACCAGAATCGAACCTGGGACCTTCCAGTCCGCAGGCCGACGCTCTATCCACTGAGCCAAACCTGTGTTGGCGTCCTTGGTCTTTTTTACGTGCATGGATTCTGCCCTCCATGGGCCCACACCTCCACCTGTCAGGCCATCGGCGGTAACAGGTGGTTTTCTGTAAAAGGCACTCATTCTGTATGTCTGGGGCTGTTGAGGATTTTTGTAGGGTTTGTGGTTTTTTTTTTTTTTTTTTTTTTTTTTTTTTTTTTTTTTTTTTTTTTTTTTTTGGTGTGGGTTTGTTTGTTTTTACTAAATACTTTACTCCTTCGTAATTTTTAAATTGTTTACACGAACCCTTAAATTTGTTTTTGGAAAAAGTACTATCTTTAATGAAAATTCTAAAATCCAATTATCTGGCAAGAAGGAGGAGATCAAAATGCCAGTTCTCTTTCCTTAATGTGTTTTTCGGTAAAAAAAAAATCAATAACTTCCCTGGCCCACATTCAATACGAAGAAAATAAACAAAAAATCCATCCGCTCTTCACCGAACCCCGCTGCTCCCCTCCCGATCTCACTGAGAGGAGAACCTCTGGTGAAGGCACCTGCCGGGGCCCAGGCCCAGAGGCCGGTTTCTGTTCAGGTGGCGCCTGCTGATGGGGCGGGAGGGCTTCCTGGCAGTCGCCATGGAGACCCAGGACCCAGCCCAGTGGTGTGAGGCCTGGAAGAGGAGGAAGAGGAGGAGGAGGAGGAGGAGGAGGAGGAGGAGGAGGAGGAGGAGGAGGAGGAGGAGGAGAAGGAGGAAGAGGACAAGGAGGAGGAAGAGGAGGAGGACGAGGAGGAGGAAGCATGAGGCCAGGCCACACCCCGGCTCTACCCCACCCCCTGTGGCACATGTGGGGCCCGCCCTGCGGTGCTGTGACTGAGCCGGAGGAAGGGCCCTCACCCAGGCCTGGGGCTCGGGGACGTGGCCAGCGCCCAGCACAGAGCAGGGCCCGGGTGGGGAGTGAGAGGAGTTAGGACCCCCTTCCTCCGCCACCTTGTCAGGCGCCTGCCCCTCCCGCTCGCCAGCCTGCCCTCTGTGGGCTAACCGGGGTCTCTTCTCTCTCACCCAGGGCTTCAAGGGACACACAGGCGATGCTGGCGCCCCCGGCCCCCGGGTAAGTGCTGTCCTGTCGTGAAGGTCCTCCCCGGTGGGCCTGGCTGGCGCTCCATTCACTGGGCTTCTGGGCCCTGCAGGCCAGTGGGACACCGTGTCCCCCGAGAAGCCCAACACGCCACCCCTCGCCCCGTCTAGTTTTATTTTATTTTATTGATTTTTACAGAGAGGAAGGGAGAGGGACAGAGAGTTAGAAACACTGATAGAGAGAAACACCGACCAGCTGCCTCCTGCACACCTCCTACTGAGGATGTGCCTGCAACCAAGGTACACGCCCTTGACCAGAATCAAACCTGGGACCTTTGAGTCCACAGGCCAACGCTCCCTCCACTGAGCCAAACCGGTTAGGGCTCGCCTGGTCTAGTTTTTCTAGAAATTTCTCTTGAGGGTGGGGGGTGGGAGGTCAGATGCTGACTTACAAACAGCTGGACCACGGCAGCTGGGATCCGGGTGGCTCTGGGCAGGGCTGCACAGAGCTCACAGGTGAGAGCATCGGTGTATCCTGTGGGATAGATGCCCCGAACAGAAGCCCCGCCATGCCCTGTGAACGGGGAGAAGCGGGGGGCGGGGGTAGCAGGCGAGGAGGCAGAATGCCAGGCGGTGTGCCTGGCCCTGCGCTGCTGTTCCCTGCAGCCCAGAGGGCACACAAGGCCTCGCACTGGCCTGTGGGCACCCAGCCCCAGCGCGGCCCGGCCCAGGGCGCCTGCGGTGGGCTCCTGCCTCCCTCGCTGGCACTCTGCCATCTGAGACCCTGTGTTCTGCACCCCCCACCCCCCGCCTCACCGCAGCTGCATCCTTTCTGCTTTTCCTTCCAGGGAGAGCCCGGCGCCATGGGGCCCCCCGGCCGGGAGGGGACCCCCGGAAAGGATGTGAGTGGTCCTGGGGCCCGGCTGGGTGTGGGGGAGCAGGTGGGCAGGGGGAGTGCAAAGGGCTTCCCCGAAGGACCCGGGGCCCCGGAAACTGTCCCGGAGAGGACGCCCGGGGCTCCTGCGGAGTAAAGGGCAGGCACGGGGACATGCGCGCAGTGTGCGGGCTCTGGGGGGCGAGGTGAGCCTGAGTCCGCGTCTGTCCGGTCACACGCCGCTGTGACCCGGCCATAACGGCCCTCTCTCCGTTCCAGGGGGATGCCGGACCCGCGGGGCCGCAGGGCCCCCAAGGACCGAGGGGCCCGCCGGTGAGTTTGCTGTGAGACTCAGGTTCGCCCTGTGTCTGCAGGGCCTGTTACCATGGTGATACCCGTGGTTTACCCCGCAGCCCCACGGGCTGTTAAAAGCCCCTGCAGCGTCTCCCCGTGTCTCCCACAGGGGAAGAGCGGACCGCCCGGCGCCTCAGGGGACCGCGGCCCCCCGGGAAGCCCGGTGAGTGTCGCCCTGGGCTGCGGGATGCGTCCGGGAGGCTCCGGAAGGGGCGTGGGGCTCACCTCCTGCAGGGTCTGCTCTCCATCCCCAGCAGCACCCACGGGAAAGCATGGGGTTCGAGGGCAGAGCAGGCGGCGGAGGCAGGAGGGTGCAGGCGGGCCTCCTTTAAAGTCTAAGATACATGGGGGGGAGAGGAGAGGGAATGGAGAGGATAAATGGTGATGGGAAAACTAAAGAAATTAAATAGATGCGATTATGCAGTTGGCTCCCTGTGGACACAGCAGGCATCCAAAGGAACAAGCCTATTAAAGACTTTTCTAAAAGCGGGCGATGGAACGGCCGCTGGCTGTGTGCGGGAGATGGAGAGCCGGCTCAGCCCCAGGAGCCCCAGGGCTCAGGCGCAGGCCAAGCAGCAGGGATGGGCGGCCATAGAGTTAGCTCCAGGGGGTCCTCCTGCTGGTTGGGGGGCGGGGAGGGATGGGAGGGAAGAAGGTTTGGTGGGGGCAGAGTAGGAGGGGGTGGGACGAGTCATCCACAAAGTCCTGGTCGCTGGAGAGAGAATCCGGGATCGGGGTCGGGTCTGCTGGGGGGTTGGGGAGGGCATGGTGGGGAGATGGGTCTTTGATGGATTCTAGGCTGGGAGATGTCGGCCTGTCCGTGGGTCTCCTCCCAGCCCTGCCTCTTGTACGTTTTGTGGTTGTTAACCCTCACCCGAGGATAGAGTCCCCATTGATTTCTTCTTTTTTTAAAGAGAAATTGGAAGAGAGGGGGAAAGCCAGAGAGGGAAACGTTGATGTGAGAGACACACTGATTGGTGGCCGTCCGCACATACCCTGACGGAGGCCAGGGATCTAGCCAGCGAGGGAGGTACGTGCCCCAGCCGGCCCTTGACCTTGAAGAACTGACCGGTTCTCCCTCCGCAGGGCCAGAAAGGCAGCAAAGGAGACGGCGGCAGCCCGGGCCTGCCTGGCTTCCTGGGCCCCCGGGGGCCTCCGGTAAGCAGAGCACCCCCAGGGGACCGAGGTGCCTGCCTCTAGGGGTACAGTTCACGTGTCCTTCCGCCCCCGTGTCCTCAGGTCCACCTGCTGGGTTACAGCGACCTGGTGTCACACCTGCTCCCTAATCCTGAGGCCTGGCCCCTCCTGACTCAGAGGGGGCACGGCTCCTGCCTCTGGGAGCGGGAGCCGGTTTGTGTAAGCGGTTGGCGGGGTACCCAGCCCCTGGGGAGCTCGGTCCTTTCACACTGTTTCACACAGTGGGCGTGGCGGCTGGGGTGCGGGTCACGGCCTCCAAACTTCACGGCCCCTGAGGCATCGCCTTGCAGATGACATGTTCGGGCTGTAGGGTCAGAGCTTGCAGGTGGGGTTCAAGGTCACCTGGTCAGCTGGCGTCCAGCCGGCTCTGCATCATGGTCTCCTGACCTGACCGCCTGACGCAGAGGAGCCAGGGGTGATGGGTGCCAGGTCTCTGGGCTGAGGGACGCGAGGGAATGAACCATGTCCGGCAAGCTCCCCTCTACACCCCAACCCCCTCACCAGTTGCCTTCTGTGAGCCACGGCCACGCCCTGGCTCCTGACCTGTGAACGAGGGTCGTGGGGAGTGGGCTGTGTGAGAGCTCACCCTCTCCTGTCCGCTCCCCTCCAGTTCATTCCTGGCCCCCGAGGTGCCCACTGCCAGCCCTGCCAGCCACTCGAGCTGTGACCTTCTTCGCCCTTCGCTGCCTTGTAGCCCAGGATGCAGAGCTCTGTGCACTGGCGTCCACTGGGCCTGTTCCTTCGCTGGACGCCTCCTCTCCCCGCCTGTCACTCATCTGGCTTCTCCCAGACTCCTTGCTGCAGACCCCTTAGTCAGCGTGATGGCCGATCATGTGTTGGCCCCCCCCCCCCTCGCTACACTAGCTCTGGGGGCATTACAGCTACCGACACATTCCACTCCTGGCCACCCCGGAAGCAGGGACGGCAGCGGTCCCATCTCACAGATGCAGAAACGGAGGCGCCAAAGCCTTAGGTCGTTGTAAGGAGGTTGTCCATGGCCGCAGAGCCAGCAAACGGAGGAGTCGGGACTTGAACTTGGGAGGCTGACGCCAGAGCCCAGGGTCTTCTTGGTGCCTCCTTTCACCCCCGAGCCTGCTTCTCCGGGAGGTCTGCAGTCGCAGCTGATGCCCCGGGGCTCTGGGTGGTGGCACAGCCGTCCCCCCGCCGAGGGGGCCGGGCCCAGGCTCCCGCCCACCGGGTCCCTGGTGTCTGTGCTGGAAGGGCCCGGGGCGGGCGGTGTTTGGAAGACGGTGCGTTACGTGTGATGTGCAGCCGCCGAGCTCACCGTGTCGTGTTCTGTCTCACAGGGCGAGCCCGGAGAGAAGGGAGCCCCAGGAAAGGAGGCAAGTGTCACCCCTCCCTGCCCCCCCGGTGGCCTTTCCCATGCGGGTGCGGGCCGGCTCCGCGGGGAGACACAGGGGGTCCCTGGGCCTGGGCGTGACCGAGCTCCACACTCACTCATGCTCTCTGAACCGGGTCCGGATTTGAAATTCACAAGGGCCCCGTCAGCTCTGTAGCCGTTCCGGGATACCATCTTTTTAAAAAAAACACACAAACAAATCAGTATTTTTCTTGCTGTCAGAGAGGAAGGGAGAGGGAGAGAGAGAAACATCAATGATGAGAGAGCATCATTGATCAGCTGCCTCCTGCACACCCTCCACTGGGGATCAAGCCTGCAACCCAGGCCTGTGCCCTGACTGGGAATGGAACTGTGACCTCCCAGTTCCTAGGTTGATGCTCACCCCCTGAGCCACGCCCCTACCACCACGCCATAGGAGTTGGGACAGGGACCTGAGTCCATAGAGACGGGAGTGTGCCGCCAGCGGAGGGGAGGGGGCTGGCCTCGGCCATTGGGAGCCACAGGGTCAGCGCTGCGGGGGGCAGGGCATGGAGTCAGCGGGGCCCTTGGGCTGGGAGCACTGAACACCCACCAGGCGGGGCCCTGGGGGCCAAGGAGGGAGACCCCAATCCTGATGAGGACAGTCCTGGAAAAGGGGGGAGGGCGGGGAAGGGGGCCGATTGTCAGGTGGTGCCACGGTCCAGGGTGGGCCTGGGCGGGAGGAGGCTGGGGGCGGAGGGGACGCAGGCCTGCAGGGTCCACACAAAGCGGGGGTTCTCGGAGGAAGGCGTCTGGAGACCCTTGTCCTCGGAGGTGCCCGGGCAGAGGGACCGCCGGTGAGGGCCGTCGGCCTTGGGTGTCTTGCAGGGCGAGCCCGGGAAGCCTGGAGCAGCAGGACCCAGAGGAGAGAGGGTGAGTGGGGGCGTGCCCCCTGCAGGGGACGCTTCTGGGGCTGGGCCTGTCCCGACACCGCGTGCAAGCCGCCCGGAGAGCTGCCGCCTGCACCCGCCGTTCCCGGAGATGAGGCCTGCCCCCTGCCTGGTGTCCTCAGTGCTGTTGGTCCCCCACCCCCTTTCCATCATTTCCTACTGATGTCAGAGAGGAAGGGAGAGGGAGCGAGAGAAACGTCAATGAGGAGAGAGAATCATGGCTCGGCTGCCTCCTGCACGCCCCACACTGGGGATCGAGCCCCCAACCCAGGCCTGTGCCCTGACCGGGAATCGAACCGTGACCTCCTGGTTCCTAGGTCAACGCTCAGCCCCTGAGCCACGCTGGCCGGGCGGTCCCCCTTCTCTGGTTGTTATGTGAAGAAGTGGCGTCATTGCAATTACAGACGCCAAGGAAGTGAGAGGCCGGGACAGCGCCCTCCCCTGTGTGCTCCGCGCTTGGCGCCCGGAGCCAGGCTTGGCACCGGGGCGGCCGGGAACAGGTTTTTCCATAATGATCCGCTTGGCATTGCGCTCAGGAAGCCTCCCCTTCCATTTTGTTTCTCCGGAAAGATCCACGGAGGGAAATCAGTTACTTTTTTTAGCGACACCAGAGGGAGGGGCGTTCTCACGTGGTGGCGGCGTCCCTGCCTTTGGCGGGTTAAACCTCGCGTGGTCGCCTGTCACCCTGCCGCACCACACGGTGTCGCCGCCCCACCCGGGCGTGTCTCCCTCGTCCTGCGGAGCGTTTACCTTGGTTTCCTGCCAAGTCGGTGGGCGAGGCGAACCCCTTTCGCCGCTGCCCTGTGCTCGTGGTTCTGAGGACGAGCCAGGAAAGGGGCTGTGGGGGAGACGGGAGTGAGGGCCCCCCGACCCCCGGCCAGTGTCACGCAGGTGCCCCGGGACTCCTGCTGCGGGGATGGCTTGAGGTTTGGCTGGGAGCCAGGACACGCAGCCCCCAAATGTGAGTCTCCGCTAGGCCCAGTCCGTGCGCCGAGCTCGGCCTCCACGCTAAGTGGTTTGGTGGAGCTCGGCCAGGACGCGGCAGGCAGTCGCCCTGCGCTCCGGGAGCCGGGAACGGGACCAGGCCTCTGCCTGCAGAGGATGCTGGGCGGGTGGACAGGACACGCTGGGACCCGATGAGGATGGTCCCCGTGACGTGATCACACCCAAGGCATGGAGTGACCGCCTCAGATCTGGCCAAGGTCATGTCCAATGACACGGAGTGACCCCTCAGATCTGGCCAAGGTTATGTCCAATGACACGGAGTGACCCCTCAGATCTGGCCAGGTTCATGTCTAATTACATGGAATGACCGCCTCAGATCTGGCCAAGTTCATGTCTAACTCACTGCTCTCTCCTCGTTGGTAAAGTCCTGCAGACAGTAGACAATGCAAACTGCAGAAAGCAGACGCAGTGTAAGAAGGGGCCCCTCCCCCAGGGCCAGGGTCCGTCCCACGGTCAGTGCACAGGACGCGGGTAGGTGTGCGACCCACCTGCGTGGTCCCTGCTTAACGCCCGGAAGAGCCCAGACGCGCGCTGTGCTGTGTCTGGTTCTTCGTGGGAACGGACCCACGGGTGACGCGGCCAACTACCCGCCTTCCTTTGCCGCGGCTCTGGCACGTCCACGCCACGCCCCCTCCTGTTTCTGGTCTTTCCCCCCACGTCTCCCTCCCTCTGCCGCCGCCCCGCTGTGGGGCCCGCTGACCTCGAGGCCGATCATGTGACCACCATGTTTTCAGACCCTTGATCAGTGCTGAGTCCTGCCGGTCAGCGCACAGTAGCACACGGGGTGGAGGACTGGGCTGCCCCCTGGTTACCATGGTTTCCAGGGACTGATCCAGGACCTTGGGGTCCACAGTGGGGAGAGCAGGGTCTAGGCAGCTTCATGCTTGGTGGCCCCAGGGAGGAGGGAGCAGGAGGGTACCTATCTGTGAGGCACCTCTGTCCGTGGTGCCGCTGTCCCTCAGCGGATGGAGGACACAGGGAAGCCAGCTGGCAGCTGGGCGCTCAGTCTCAGAGGCGGGCAGACGGAGGGAGCCCTGGACTGAGGTGTGGAAATCTGAGTTCGGTCCTGACCCTGCAGACCCCCTGCGTGACCATAGCGGGGGGCCATGTCTCGCTGGGCTCCACGTTCTCATCTGGGCCCGGACAGAGGCCTCCTCTCGGGAGCCAGAGGACCGGGGGCCCCGCCCCAAGGCACCCTCATTTCTTTGCTTGCTGACCCTTCTCTCCCCCTCTAGGGAGATCCCGGCACCAAGGGTGACAAAGGAGCTCCCGGTGGGAAAGGCCAGCCTGGGGACCCGGGCATCCCCGGCCACAAAGGCCACACGGGCCTGATGGGCCCCCAAGGCCCGCCCGGGGAGAGCGGGCCGGCCGGGCCCCCGGGGCCTCCGGGGCAGCCGGGCTTCCCGGGCCTGAGGGTAAGGGGGCTCCTCGGGGCCGAGGGGGCCAGGGAGGGTGTGGCCTTCAGCGAGGCGGGGTGTACCCCCATGTGGCACGAGGACTGTCCTCCTGGAGTCCTCAGTGTCCCACGCTTGAGCCACACTCTGCTCCTCTGAGAACCCCACTCCGAGGCTGGGCGGTCACCTGTGGGGGGCCGGGGTGACGGGGGGAGGGAGCGGGGCAGAAGACTCGAGTCCTTGCAGGTGGGCGGGGCCGTGGGCTGGTCCCTGGGGCGGGCAGGACCTCGCCAGGGGGAGATCTGGGGCCAGGCCCCTGGGTTTGTGCAGGAAGAGCAGGCAGGCAGTGCAGGGGCCCGGCTCACCGAGTCCAGGTCACCTAGGAAACAGGATGAGGAGAGGGAGGGCGCCCCGATGTGGGAAGGACGGGGCCAGGAGGATGTGGAACATGTGGTTCCGGTCAGGGGTCTCGGAGCAGGAGGTCCTCAGAGATGAGTAACCCGCCTCCTTCCCTCCCTCCCTCCTTCCCTCCCTCCCTCCCTCCCTCCTTCCTTCCCTCCCTCCCTCCCTCCCTCCCTCCTTCCCTCCGTCCCTCCCTCCCTCCTTCCTTCCCTCCTTCCCTTCCTCCCTCCCTCCTTCCCTCCCTCCCTCCCTCTGTCCCTCCCTCCCTCCCTCCCTCCCTCCTTCCTTCCCTCCCTCCCTCCCTCCTTCCTTTCCTCCCTCCTTCCTTTCCTCCCTCCCTCCTTCCCTCCCTCCCTTCCTCCCTCCCTCCTTCCCTCCCTCCCTTCCTCCCTCCCTCCGTTCCTCCCTCCCTCCCTCCTTCCCTCCTTCCCTCCCTCCCTCCCTCCTTCCTTTCCTCCCTCCCTCCCTCCCTCCCTCCCTCCCTCCTTCCTTCCCTCCCTCCCTCCCTCCTTCCCTCCCTCCTTCCCTCCTTCCGTCCCTCCCTCCCTCCTTCCCTCCCTCCCTTCCTCCCTCCCTCCCTTCCTCCCTCCCTCCTTCCCTTCCTCCCTCCTTCCCTCCCTCCCTCCCTCCCTCCCTCCGTCCCTCCCTCCCTCCCTCCCTCCTTCCTTCCCTCCCTCCCTCCTTCCCTCCCTCCTTCCCTCCTTCCGTCCCTCCCTCCCTCCTCCCTCCCTCCCTCCTTCCCTTTCTCCCTCCCTCCCTCCCTCCCTCCTCCCTCCCTCCCTCCTTCCCTCCCTCCTCCCTCCCTCCCTCCTTCCCTTTCTCCCTCCCTCCCTCCCTCCCTCCTCCCTCCCTCCCTCCTTCCCTCCCTCCCTCCCTCCCTCCCTCCCTCCTTCCCTCCCTCCCTCCCTCCCTCCCTCCCTCCTCCCTCCCTCCCTCCTTCCCTTTCTCCCTCCCTCCCTCCCTCCCTCCCTCCTCCCTCCTTTCCTCCCTCCCTCTCTCCCTCCCTCTTTCCCTCCCTCCCTCCCTCCCTCCCTCCTTCCCTCCCTCCCTCCCTCCCTCCTTCTCTCTCTCCCTCCCTCCTTCTCTCCCTCCCTCCCTCCTTCCCTCCCTCCCTCCCTCCCTCCTTCTCTCCCTCCCTCCTTCCTTCCCTCCCTCCCTCCCTCCTTCCCTCCCTCCCTCCGTCCCTCCCTCCCTCCCTCCCTCTCTCCCTCCCTCTTTCCCAGGGCGAGTCTCCCTCCCTGGACACCCTGCGGCGGCTCATCCAGGAGGAGGTCGGGAAGCAGCTGGAGAGTGAGTTTCTTTTTCTTTCTTGTTCTTTCTTTCTTTCTTTCTTTCTTTCTTTCTTTCTTTCTTTCTTTCTTTCTTTTTTTGTTTAAAGTATATTTTATTGATTTTGTACAGAGAGGAAGGGAGAGAGAAAGAGAGTTAGAAACATCGATGAGAGAGAAACATCGATCAGCTGCCTCCTGTACACCCCCCACCGGGGATGAGCCGGCAACCAAGGTACTTGCCCTTGACTGGAATCGAACCTGGGACCTTTCATTCTGCAGACCAACGCTCCATCCACTGAGCCGGACAGGCTGGGGCACGAGTCCTGTCTTTCTCGCAGCTCGCAGGCGCGGGCGGGGCTCTGGCAGCCCGGAGCGGCCTGTTGTCTGTCCTTCAGCACTGGGCAGCCTCACGGGAGAAAGGCTGCAGAGAGCTGCTCCGATCACCATCCAGCCAGCCTCCCCCGGCACGGGCCCCTCTGCAGAGCTCCCTCGAGTGAGCCTCAACTTGCCCCTGCTTGATTGCCTCTGCACGGGCAGCTCACCACCTGCAGAGCCGGTTCTGCCGTGACCATGCCCTTTCCGTGCACTCGGTCCCCAGGCCTGGCAGCCGGCCGCCATGTTGTCCTGTCGGTGATCCCTCCTTCACGAAACCTCTGTTTTCACCTCCGCAGCCAAACTCGCCTACCTCATGGCCCACATGCCCCCGGCGCACGTGAAGGCGTCTCAGGGCAGACCCGGGCCCCCGGGGCCCCCCGGCAAAGACGGGCTTCCGGGCCGAGCAGGCCCCATGGGGGAGCCGGGACGGCCTGGGCAGGGGGGTCTGGAAGGACCGTCCGGACCAGTTGGTCCCAAAGGTGAGTGAGGGCCGGGGCTGAGGAGTGGGGGAGGATGCCTTTCGCAGCGTCCACAAGGCAGAGAAGGACCTCCGGAGGCGCCCGCGCTGAGGAGATTTATGCCATCCTCCTCGGGCGAGGTAGCCGGTATGTTGGCATCGTTACTTTTCCCAAAGGAGAAACGGTTTGCGGAGTTGGCAGTTTTGCAAAATTCTGCTTCTGCCAGGCGGACTGAACCTGCTGCCTTCCCCTGCCTTGTCCCCCTGCATCTCCCCTGCTCCGGTGTTGGGCTCAGTGAAACGCCCCCTGCCCTGTGAGAGAGAACGGACTGAAGGAAGAGATGGGTCCTGCAGGCAGATGGGCACCAAATGCCGGCTTTGCCTCTGAAAAAGCGGCTGGAGCTGCAGCTAAAACGGCGGCAGACCCGCCGGCTCTCAGGCCCAGGCCTTCCCGGGGCCCGGCGCCAGGACAGCAGGTCTCACCTGCAATGTAGCCTGGGGGGCAACCAGCGAGGAGGCGCTCGCTCTGCAGATAGACAGACAGACAGACAGCCCTGCAGGCAGGCAGGCAGACAGCCCTGCAGGCAGGCAGACAGACAGACAGCCCTGAAGGCAGGCAGGCAGCCCTGCAGGCAGACAGGCAGACAGCCCTGCAGGCAGACAGACAGACAGCCCTGCAGGCAGGCAGGCAGACAGCCCTGAAGGCAGGCAGACAGACAGACAGCCCTGCAGGCAGGCAGGCAGGCAGACAGACAGCCCTGCAGGCAGGCAGACAGCCCTGCAGGCAGGTGAACAGACAGACAGCCCTGAAGGCAGACAGACGGACAGCCCCGCAGGCATACAGGCAGACAGCCCTGCAGGCAGGCAGACAGACAGCCCTGCAGGCAGACAGGCAGGCAGACAGACAGCCCTGCAGGCAGACAGGCAGGCAGACAGACAGCCCTGCAGGCAGACAGGCAGGCAGACAGACAGCCCTGCAGGCAGACAGGCAGGCAGACAGACAGCCCTGCAGGCAGGCAGATGGAAGAGAGCTAGAGGAAGGACCAAAACCAAACTCCCAACCTGATACCTAGCTCCTCCCCTGGAATACTGTGTCTCCGCCTCTGAAGGTGTGTGTTCCCCTCACAGGTGAGCGCGGAGCCAAAGGTGACCCAGGAACGCCAGGTGTTGGCCTCCGAGGCGAGATGGGCCCCCCCGGAATTCCAGGTGGGCATGGCATCCGGGGCCTCTGGTGGGGACAGCGTCCGTGGTGGTGGGTCCCTTCGGGGGAGGCTGGGGAGAGAGGGTGACCTTTAAGTACAGGTCACCGGACACTGATTGTCTGTCCCAGCTGAAATGCCCGCCTCTGGACTTGCCAGGAAAACGGTGGGGCGTCCCGGGCCCTTGGCTTGGGGTGAAATAAGCCCGGGCCGGCAGGGAGCTGCGTGCCCCTCCTCGCCATCCCCAGCGCACGCTGGCTTCTTACATGGGCTGAGGAACTTGCATAAAAACGCATGCTCATTTGGTGCTTCCCAAATACCCTTGAACATGGAGCCTTGATTCTTTGGCTCTGCACCCCATCCTTATGTCTCAGCATCCCCGGGGATGCTGGCCACAGTGCTGGCTTGTCCTAGGCTGGCCTGTTCCTGGGACCAGGCAAGTCCATCTCCGCCCCCGTGGCCCTATGGGAATACAGTAGCCCACAGTGCGAGATGGAGGCAGGAAGTTGACGGTGTGACACTGCGTGGTTATGGAGCTCCGTGCCACTGAGCTTTCTAAGTTTAATTCTAGTTCATATGATGACCCGAGGTCGCCTCTGAATATTAGGCCTACAGGTCATTTTAATTTTAGTGTATATATATATCTTCTTGATTTTCCAAATGTCCCCCAGTGGCCACCATTGCTATTCTCCTTAGAGAAGATACCTACAAATGCATTATAAATACTGCTTTTTGACTTCTTGCCTGCTTCTCAATAGCTTTAATGTTAATAGTATTTTTAAATAAGGTGATTCCAAATAAGGAAGGGGGAGTTGACTGGACAGATGAGGTTGGGGTAAGACTGGTCTTCAGAGGTTCTGAGCTGAAGGAATGAGTGAGCTCCTGGTCTCAGGACCTGGTGGAAGGCAGGGCTATTGGTGGCATACAGTCACCAAAGCCCTCATGCATCTTAGTGTTCCGGAAATGTCTGAAGGTTTTTAAAAATAAGAATCTACTTTTTAAATTTCATTTACGAGGGACTCACATTTCCTAACATGATTAGTAAGACTTGAGAAGGAATCTCATTGCTAAGGTTAACTCTAAGCCCCTAGCACTGAGATCCCCAGTTGCCAAAGCAAAAGGGAGACAGGTTGATTATATATTGTATGTGGTGCTTAATAAGTGGGGGCAGGGGAGTGTTTCTACGCGTCGTATTTTCTGGGTCATTCTGGGCTGTCAGTTGCTTACATTCTGTGTATGTGTCCTTGCCCATGGTTTGCAGAATAGGCTGATGTGGTCCCAGTCTGCAGTTACCCCTGTGATAAAGCTTAGAAATTGCAGACGAGCTGGGTGTTGGAGAATGGGGTGTCACCAGGTGTCTCTAGGGACAGAATCGGGCTGATGGCTAATGACAAGACTGGGTGTCCCACTCGCAGTCAGAAGCCCTCCCAGCAGCCTGTGAGAACACAGAAGGCCAGGTTTCCCACCCACCCCGTATGGAGCACATTTTCCGTCCCTGGCCCTCATCTGCCCGTCTCTCCTCTCTGAGGGCACCGATGGCTGCCCTTGTCCAGTCCAGGCAGCGCTGCCCCTGCGCCCTGGTGCCCACGGAGCCCGTCCCAGTCCCGCAGGGCACAGTGCCCAGTGCCCAGACCCACCCCTCTCTGAGGCCCTCTCCAGGTGGCTCCGGGGGGGAGCACTGGGAACAGGGCCGTCTGCTCCGGAGAAGCCTGACCCCCTCCTGTGTGTTTTGCTCCTCGGCCAGGTCAGCCTGGGCAGCCCGGCTACGCCAAAGACGGGCTTCCTGGGGGCCCCGGCCCTCAGGGGGAGACCGGACCCGCCGGACACCCCGGCCCCCCGGGCCCGCCCGGCCCCCCCGGCCAGTGCGACCCCTCCCAGTGCGCCTACTTCGCCAGCCTGGCCGCCCGCCCGGGGAATGTGAAGGGCCCCTAGAAGATTCCGGAAGGCCCGGGGACCACGGTGGATTTCTGAAACTTGAACCCAGAGCCGAGGACGTCGGAGACCTCGACACATTTCGGCCACTTGCTTTTGTTCTTTCATCGTTTATTTTCTCGAGAGACCTCGGTGTCATTAAAACCAACAGATGCTGGCGGTCGGTGGGGTTATTATTGATATTTTTATTAATTATTATCATTATTGCATTTGTTCATGCTTTGCAAGTTTTGCTCCCTCTCCTCTGAAGTGGAAACTTGATTTGGGGGCAGGAATCCAGTGGGAGTCCGGACAGCCCGCAGCCTGGCTGCTGCCCATGGTGCTGAAACCCGGGCAGACTGGGCCAATGTCCCTCTGCCCCGGAGGCAGCTGGAAAAGAACCAGTCAGAGCTTCTCTCCTGCCGAGAGGAACAAGTTTGCAGCTGATGGGGGGCCCAGGCAGGGCGAGACCCCCCTCACGGTTCCAGGCCTCTGCAGGGCAGTGCCGCGGGGCCGGCAGCGGCTCGCGGGATCCTGTCTGGACTCGGATGGGGAGGCCGGTGCGGGGGAGCAGGCCCTGCCCTTCGATATGGATTTGGCATCTCAACCATGGAAGGACCTGTCTGTGTGAGCTCCGTCCTGACCTCACTGACCTGCACCGGAAGGCAGGCGGCCGCTCCGGGCTCTCCCGAGGGGGCAGGTGGGCAGGTGCTGCCGGAGCTGGGATGTGTGTACCCCGTCACCCCGATCCAGCCTGGGTGTGTGTGTATGTGTGCGTGTGTGCATGAGTGTGTGTGAGACACACTGGTCCGCACAGGTGCTCAATAAACCTCATTTCCTGTTCCTCGGTCTCCGTGACGATTCCTTTTCGACTGCCGTGTCCATCTCAGGTTCTCGCGGGAAGGAGAGGAGGTGGGGCTTCTGCCATCAGGCATCGGAGACCTAAAAGCGCTCATCAAACCAAGCAGGACTGCACAGACCCTCCCGCTCCCTTGGCTGCTCCTGCTGGAGGGCGGCTCACAGCTCCACTCCCATCCCCCTGAGGTGGGCTGAGGTGGGGACGGGGAGGACCAGGTGGGCCTGCTCTGGAGGCTGCACCCTGCTGACAGTTGGCCTTGGGCTGCTTAGTAACCCAAACCCCTCGTGTCACAGGCCAGGCTGTTGCCAGGGAGATGTCCGTGAGGCATCTGGCCGGCCTCACCTTGGTCTCCTTCCCAAGTCCCCGTGGCCCCGGTGGGCGGGGAGGATGGAGCAGGGGAGGTATTCCTGGCCGCTGTCACTCAGCACTGCCTCATCCTCCAGGGACAGAGCGAACAAGGACGGGACGGAGACTGAGCTGAGGACCGGCGTCTATTCCCAGATGGACGCTCCCTCCTTTAAGCTCAGCAGACATGGCGCCAGCTGCTGGGGAGGGGGCCAAGGTGACCAGGCGCAGGGAGGTCACCGTCTGGCGAGTGGACTATAATTAACTCAATGCGCTATTTCTGGATGAGGCACAGGGAGACGGCACGCCAGGGACAGCGCCTTACGATGTCATGTCACTGGTGCTGAGAGAGAGAATCCATGGCTGGCGTGGGTGAGTCTACAGTAACAATAAAAATAATAGCATCTGCCGGGTCTAAATTATTAGTTCTGGGCATCTCCCCCCCGAAAGTCCCCTGCGTCCATCCTTCCCCAGAGCAGAGGATTGTGGGAGACATGAAGGCCATACTGTGCTGGAAGCAGAATGTCCAGTGAAGGGCAAAACAGGCACATTTCCTGTTTTCAAGACACTCACACCATCTTGTAAGGCACAGGTGAAACCCTATATAATAAAAGCTAATATGCAAATTGTCCCCTCGACCAGGAGTTCGTCCAGGAGTTTGACCAGGGGGTGGGGCTGGCCAGCCAACCTCCCATGGCCCCTCCCCCAGGCGGACCCCTCCTGATTGACCCCAAAAGAGGCGGGCTAGCTGGACCCCACCCGTGCACTGGGCCTCTAGCTGGACATAAATAAAAAGATTGCCAGCTGTTCACGATGCGCCGGGGGAATTCCAACAAGGGGCCCCTGAGGATCCTCTGGTAAAACCTGGATGGACCCGGAGATTCTGTAAGAGGGGTGACAGGACTGCTCCCCAGCAGGCAGCCCCGCCTCCTGGCTGAGCTGCTGGGAGCAGGACATGGCTGTGGGGAAGGCCACCTGGGGACGGGTTCACACAGAGAGAGGAGGTGGCCCCTGGCCTCGCATTCCCACTCCCATCCGTGCACAGGCCCCAGGGGAGGGAGACGGGGTTCAGGCTAGTGAGGACCCTGCACGGAGCTGAGTCCTCGCAGCAGCAGGCTGGCGCTCCACGTGGGACGGAAGGAGGCTGTGGCAACGGAAAATGGCAGAAAGACGGGATCCGACTTCCACGCTGAAGAAAACCACTCTTGGTGGGAGGGGTCCCACCACCACCTCTGGTTCCATTGGGGAAAGGGACATGGGCTCCTGCCTCCGGCGCCATTTCCTCCCTGAACCACAGCCGTGCGGAGTATAACACCGACTGTCACAGTGACGGCACGTTGAGAGGCGTTGCTATGTGATATCAGTCTCCTGGCTTTTGGTGGTGGCGGTTTTCCTTTGAAAGTATCTCCAAGTTCATCCTCTCTGACTGTCTGTAGTTGTGGCTGTGGGAAAAGGGTGAGGGCCCTTTTATTCTGTCTCTTCTGGTTCTGCTACTGGTTGGAAGTGAACACCAAGGTCCAGTCTGAAGTAGCCCTTCCTTCTGATGGCTCCTATCAGCCTGAAACACAAGCCCCACCACGGTCTTCCTTCTGGAGGGGAGAGAAGGAAAGAGATTAATTTCCAGAAATGAATGGAAAACGGCTGATGAATATCAAGAGGCAACTCAGTTTTCCTGGAAACAAAGAAACAAAACAGACAAACAAGCAAAAGCACTCGGAGTACAGACCCGGACAGCAGGCCTTGAGGCTCCTGGCGACTTGCATCTGATTGTCACAAAGGAACAAACCAAAGAGGACTGGAGGGCGGGGCATGCTCAGCGAATCCATCACTTCTGGCTCATTAAGCCTGTGACGTGGATAAACACCAGGTGAAGTAATAAGCGAAGTGCATCACCCATAATAAACCACTATGTGAGTACGTGATGCCTCCTGGACCTGGCGGGTGCTGATTTTCTATAAATACCGAAACTTAATGACTCTCCCTGAGCTATTCATTAAACTTGGAAAGCCCATGCATAATGAATAGGAAATCCATTTGTTCATTAACTTGAGGAATGAAAAATCTCTCCCTCCCTGGTTACGTCTGATTCGTTTGACTCTGACACAAGTTAGCAGCTCTCTCAACGCCTCCCAGGCACTCTCTGAGGGGATGCAGGCCCGTGCCCAGGAATGCAGGGACCTGAAGGCGGGCGACTCTGGCTGCAGCGAGGAATCGGGGCCCTAATGCAGCACAATCCCAGAACCTGCCCGCTGGGCTCGCTGGTCACCCCTGCTGCTCCCGGCAGCTGGAGCCCGAGTTTTGTTTAGTGGTAGCTGTCAGACTACAAAGAAGACGTTACTTTTTCTGATTCTTGGTTTCTTCATCTATTAGAAACAGAAATAAAATAAAAAAGATAACAGCATATTGTTTTTCTGTAGCTTCTATAACAAGTTGCCTCAAATTTAGTGGCTTACACCAACTGAAGTTTATCTTACATTTCTATGGCTGGAAAGTCATACCCAGGTCTCCAGGGGCTAAAATCAAAGAGTCAGCAGAATGCTTTTTTTCCTTTTTCTTTTTTTTCTTTGCCCTTTTTTCTTCTTCTTCTTCTTTTTTTTTTTTTTCTGGAAGCTCTAGAGGAACATTAATTTCCTTGCCCTTTGCAGCTTTTCAAGTCTGCCAACACTCTTGGCTCATGGCCCCTTCCAGCATCATCGAAGCCAGCAGCTTCAGGTGGTGTCCTTCTGACACCACCTCTCCCACCTCCTTTCCATGGTGACCTCTCTGATGCTGACTCTCCCTGTTTGAAGGTCAGCTTGTTAACAGCCATGATTTCATGTGCAATCTGAATTTCTCGTTGGCCATGCAGTCTTCTTTTTAAAAATTTTAAAATATATTTTATTGATTTTCTACAGAGAGGAAGGGAGAGCGATACAGAGCTAGAAACATCAATGAGAGAGAAATATTGACCAGCTGCTTCCTGCACACCCCCCACCGGGGATGTGATTGCAACCAATGTACATGCCCTTGACCGGAATTGAACCTGGGACCTTTCAGTTGTGGACTGACACTCTGTCCACTGAGCCAAACCGGTTTCAGCGGCCATGCAGTCTTTTCACAGTCACAGAGTCCAGGGAGCAGGATTCGGCCACCTTGGAGGCTATTGTTCTACCCACCACATCGTGCAGGATCTAAGGGCCACATGAAATGCTGAGGGTCAGCTGTCTTGTCCAGTGTCTGCTGCACAGTAAGGGATTGATACATCGAAGCAGTCCTTGCTGTTTATTGCTTCATCTTCACAACTAACTAGGGAAGCAGACTGGGCAGGTGTGATGATCCCCATTTGACAGAAGAATACTTTGATGCTGCCCAGGTTGCATAGCTCAGTAATTGAACCAGGAGATCACGGTTCGATTCCCGGTCAGGGTACCTGCCCAGGTTGTGGGCTCAATCCCCAGTGGGGGGCGTGCAGGAGGCAGCCCATCCATTATTCTCTCTCATCATTGACATTTTTGTCTCTCTCTCCCTCTCCCTTCCTCTCTGAAATCCATAAAAAAATTATTTATTTATTTTTTTAAAAGAATACTTTGAAGCTCAGAGAGGTGAGGCATTGCTCAGGCATTGCCAGCAGCTGGAGCGGGGGCCCTTCTTCAGCTCCGTCTCAATAACCCTTGGCTTAGGATTCGGGGACAGGTCCGGGGACATTCTGAATGACAAAGCAGTTTCTGGCTTGAAAAGCAATCACAGCAAAGCCCAATGGTGCCTCTCGCTGGGCCATGCCAAAGCTCTAATGGAAGGTATTAGTCAAATTGGAAACAGGCTGCTGTCCTTAGCACAG